AAATTTCAAATTCTTGCATTCATTGTTGTTCACATGAATTATCCATTTGTTTTGTGGACGATACGATGCGATGGAATTTCAACGAAGAGTTTGCTAACTGAAAGAAAAATTTTTGGACGTTTCGCCTATTCAGATTCCATTCTTCCCGAAAATGACCCCAAATATCACCGATATTCGTACAATCGCAAAGGCAGCTAAAGAAGGTGGGGCTGATGGAGTGACTGCCACAAATACCGTATCCGGTAAGTATCAGCACAACATCATGTATAGGCATAACCGAATGAAATAGACATAATTGAATCATGAAATAGTCGTACAGTAAGCAATAAGTAGGTCATGAAGCAGTCAACAATTTCTCTAGAAGAACTATCTCAGGTCTGATGGGTCTGAAAGGTGATGGAAGTGCGTGGCCATCAGTGGGTATCGAGAAGCGTACCACTTACGGTGGGGTGAGTGGCTCAGCGATACGACCGATTGCCCTCAAAGCCGTTTCGGCGATAGCAAATGCCCTACCCAACTTCCCGATCCTAGCAACTGGAGGTATCGACTGTGCCGATGCAGGCATGCAGTTTCTCAATGCCGGTGCTAGTGTTTTGCAGGTTATTTCCTTGTTTTATATGGCCTTTCTTTGTGATTCGTTATATTGAAGAAAATTTCGAAGAACAAACNCAAACATTTGCTAAGCATCCCAAATGATTTAGTGGAAACTTCTGCACGCAGAATGCGCATGATAAGTACCAGTGTCAATATTGTAGGTGTGTTCCGCTGTACAAAATCAAGACTATACCGTCATTCAAGATTACTGTACTGGCCTAAAGGCCTTACTATACCTCAGTGGTATCGACTCGTTGAAAGACTGGGACGGACAAAGTCCTCCGGTTCCAAAACATCAGTTGGGAAAACCAGTTCTTCTACAAAACCTGGTTAGTTTTTTGTTCAATATAACTGATCTTACCAGATACTTCTGCATGATATTCGACTATCATTGTTACTAATAATGACATACGGATTACTGGAAGCGGTAGGGAATTTTTGCACTGAATAAAGTTGACTGTTTTTGAATTATAACCTTGTAGTTGCTATTATCATGTTTATTATAACTGTTGTTATTGCTATTATGATCAACATTCACCTTAATATTAACAGCATTATTCAAGAATTGTTCCAGCACATTCCCAATTTCGGCAAATATCGTGAAGAACGAGCCAAAAGAGAGCAAAAACTCATACGAAGCGCCAATGCATTGGATACTTCTGATTTGGGTTTTGCTAAACGTCCTGATAATCAACCTCGGCATGTGCCCTCTGTTAATGTTCGTTTTCTAAAGCAATTTCTCACTGGGCATTGATTGTTGAATTCACGATTTTCTTTGAAATATTTCCAATTGTGCATTCAAATCAATGTCTTCCAAATACTTCTATCTATTAAGCACTGAATCAACACATCTGATCTTTCAGGATGTTGTCGGTAAGTCTCTAGCCCAGATCGGCTC